GAAATTTTCAATATTTATATCTTGGTTCCTTTTTAAATTGTTGCGACCGGTATTGTTAAATCTTTTATACCACATGTATGCATGGTTTATTAATTGCACTGCATGTATTTGACTGCATGATTATATTGTATTAGATGTCATGTAGTTTAATTAAGTAATAATCAATTCACTTATGAATTTCTCAAATATAGCATTTCTTGATTGTTATTTGAGTGATATGTTTATTATGTTGTATTAAGGCGATTCATGTAAGTAATGCATGCGCATCATTTGCACATGCTAATTTGCTTCCCTTGCAGTGTTGTTTTGGGGAGAAAAATTACCCCTAATTCCTATGGGGTAAAAATTACTCCCGTAACAGAGGTGCAAAAATTACCCCTATAAAGGTAGGGGTAATTTTTACAACTCTCACATGGGAGTAATTTTTACCCCATAGAAAACTATGGGGTAAAAATTACTCCCGTAACAGTGGAGTAAAAATTACACCTATTTTTATATGGGGTAAAAATTACTCCTTAAGAGTGGAGTAAAAATTACCCCATTTGAGAGGGGTAAAAATCGCCCGAAAAAATCGGGGCGTTCATTGGACAACCATGTTACCCCATATTTTGGGGCAATTTTTACTCCCTGAAATTTACAGTGTGTATATACATGCACGGTTGTTTCCTCTTGAAAGCTAAGTGGTTGTCAAATAATGCGCAAAAGAATGTCTCACACAGTTTAAATACTTTAAGATTAAAGATTAGATTTAAAGAGCCATATTGAAATATAGAATTATGTTACAAAACTCCTGAATAAAAGTTTAGGAATTGTCATCTTTCATCTTGATAAACTCAAATGTTCATAAATATATTTTCCGTGAAATTGGGTGAAATGATGAATATTTCCCCACACTATTCTACTATCCATAATCGCAAAAATCTGACTTTATCTTGATTCCCCCTACATGGATCCGCCCCTGGTGTTGGTTCGCGCGTGCTTTCGTCATTGACTAGTAAAATAGATCCTTTCGGCGTCACCATTTCCCAGAATTATGAGTTTCCAACAAGTAGTCATTGGCTGATATGTTTTAGTAAGTTCTTCGTTTGAGGGCATCACTTTATCATTAAATTTCATTAATGCGACATTACGTAGTGTGTCTTGCTTCGATATCTTCATATGCGCACGCTTTGAAATTCTAACTATATTATTTGAGTAATTATATAAATATATATTCTGCACAGGGTTTCCTCTTTTCCTCCCATATCGATTAGTTTGATATTAGTGGAGCTGTGTGTTAACATGCGAGCATTGATAATGTAGCAAGGTTCTATTGCGTCGATTTTCACGTCTGACGGAACAGAAACCTCTACTGCAAGCAATTTGGGAAATATGAGATCTACACGCCATCGGATGACGAAAATATCCGATTTGAAGCAATCATAGTATTACTTATAAAGGTTATTTGCTTTTCCTTGATAAATTGTGGTTTTATTTCTAAACCCAACTGGGAGCATACGAAAGATCATTCGAAGAACAACCGGTAAGGGTTTTGACGACAGCGAAAAACAGCTGTGTATTGATATTTTTAATTGTAAGCACACCTTTAATAATAATAATAATAATAATAATAATATAACTTTATTTAACGCGACTAACATACATTATTGGTTTCCCAATAGTTTTCATTGTGGGCCTCCTATCTACAATATATACATAAATACAATTTAGAAAAAATATATACTAAAACGTAGTGAAACATACTAAAGTGTTGAAATTGAACGTTCTCTAGTAGACGCTTCTGTTCTAATTTGTTGACAAATTGTTTGTGCGAGAGCATGTCTCGGAGAGAGACTTCAAATAACACACTTTTTCAAAAAACATGTACACGAAGTAACACTTTTCATTATAATACTCCTTCCTTAGTTAATAAACATTTGAACACAGGGGTTTTATTAAAATACTTACATCTGTCTTTGTGACGTTTATACGTGCGTTATTTTGAAATTTGTGTTCAGTTGTGTTCACTATAGTTTCTCTGGTGCACACCTTCAAGCTGCAGCCTTAATTTGCGGTCATAATATTTTGGAATTATATAGCCAGCTATATTTTTAAAGGCGAATTGGTCCATTGTAAAAACATAGACCTGCAAACATGCTACACATTAATATTTATCGCGCAATTATAGGAAAATATATTATAGTTAATTCAAGAAGATTGTAATTTACAATCTTCTCTAATATCGGTCTTTTGGTGCACGGTTTTGAAAAACACAATCGGTGTGTTATATAAATATTCAAAATTTCCGCACTAACTGTTTTCCTTACAGTCTAAAATACATACGTCTGCGACAAATTCTTTCACACGACAAGAACTGCGTGTTGAACTGCGTGTTGAACTGCGTACTTTCAGCAATTGTTGTACGATTTCCCATGTGTTTGACTTAAGGGAAACAACATCACCTTGTAAATCAGCAACAGCATTGTCCGATTTAGAACAACCCTCGCAAGATTCCAATGTTTTATTAACAACTTCTCGATCAGACTCAACATCACAATTTCCAAAATTGACTTCTTCAGTTATAGCTAGTCCTTTAAAAGCATTACTAAGAGGATTTTCTTCATCATCTTGCACACATCGATAACATTTTATTCTTAGGGCCGTGCCATTTGAAAGAATACTTCGTATTGACGAATTGTTTCACGCCCAATACCCCTTTCCAACACAGATTATCTTCGATAAATGACTTCAATTCATTTAGAGATCCATTCCAATAATATACTCGTTTGCTTGTAAGCATTTTGAAGGTTGTATACAGTGTACAGTATAAGTAAATAAATGCCCATTGAAATGCCCATATAAATAAGTAAATGCCCATTGAAATTGTAATACTATGGGATTGTTATTTCAGTGAATGCTGAGTAATCCAAGTGGGGGCATATGTATACACAAATTAAGACATAACCAGGAACGAATGCAAAAAAATGCAACACTAGGTCCTCTGGTAGGAATCAACCAAGTGAAGTGCAAAACACATCTTTCAAGTTCACCTTATCAAAACCCACACACCTGAAATCTATATAAAACTGCACATGAACTTGTGGTTGCAGCTCAATAACTGGCCTATGCAGCTTATGCACATATCAATGTTAAGCCCGGGGGAGCTAGGGGATTTGACATTTTCCTGAAAATATTTTGTCAAAATCCACACCCGAGGGACACCACCATTGGTCAAAAAATAGTATTACTCCATACCTGAGGAAATCAATATTGGGTAAAAAACAGTAATATTTCCCCCATCTGGGGGCTGGGAAAATTTGTTATACTGCGTTCATGATCAAACTGATCAACCCAAAGTGTTGTACTTCAACCAAGCAGACTAGCAATTTGTCTGTTGCAACAATCCAAGTGCAGAAGCCCTGGGTATGAGGTTTTATAGGATTTGCATGTTAAATGATGCGCCATGTAGCCTAGGTTGGCATATTTTCATAAGGATGCATTTTACAATATATATTTGAATTTTGTAGCTGAAGTTGCTTATTTCATATTTTGTACGGTTCAAAAATTGTGAAATAAATATTCTGTTCCTTGTCCATTTGTGTCTATTTTGGTAGAAATGCATGTAATGCAGATGCATGTAATGCTGTTGGAGTTGCTGGATTGTTCCCCAAAGTTTGTCAACAACTAGATATTTTGCAGGATGCAAACCTGAAATTTAATACCCTACTATATATATTATGAGTTTCCGATCGGCATCTTGTCAGCCTTAAATTAACGTACTCATTGAGCGCAAAGTGCCCAAGTGCGGCCTACTTATTTTTTACTTTACTGCCTAACGCCTGACGATTTTACTTGTCAATGGGGAAGCTCTGCAGCTTAATGGGTTAATGAAAACATAAAGGTATATATTTCATTGGATTTCACGAATCACATTAATGAAGTTGAATGGGCAAACCTTCATTTCATAAACATTCATGAACCTTCTTATTCAAACTGCTTTATTTCAAGAGGTTGTGCATGGCCTGAAGCGCTTTATAGTTAGACCTATATTTTCAGCGCACCTGTCTGTATAGTTGTTGGTATAGTTTTTGCCTGTGAATTTCTGACCTAAACCACGTACTGAATATTTAAAAAAGAGTTTTGAATATAGCGGGGCTGTTCTATGGAATAGTTTACCTACGCAGGCAAAGCAAACAGAATCTTTAAGTGGCTTCAATAATTTGATGAAATAATGTGTGCAACAGAGTCAGGCATCGAATAGTCTTGGTTTCATCTACGTATTTGTTATTCTGTGTTATTCTATTTCAATTCTAATTTATATTAGTTTTTAGAATGTAATTTGTGTAACGTCCCTCATGAAAATCATCCATGGGTGATGAGGGAAGCTAGCGTGGTTAAATAAAGTTCCACTATATCAACGGTTTTCAACTGGTTTTCTCATGTGTCCCCGATTTCACATGATTGAATTACCACGTCCCCTGAACAGAAATTGCCCACTGAAGTCTATCAAAAACACGAATTTCGAAATAGTTAGTAAAATAGTAAATGATTTAAATTTTAAATAATAGATAGAAAGTCAAGCAAACATGTTTATAGTACAAACTATTGTATTCAAACGTTCTAAACTATTCTCAACAATCAGTTTACTTTCACGCGACACCCCATCAATCGTCGAAATATTTCTAATTTCGTTGAACTCAATGTGACACTTGAGGACTTTTTGCATCTCGAACCAATTTCGAAATTTCTGGCTCGGTGGTAGACACACACCCCCTAAAATCGTGTTCTAGTTCGAGACGATTACGTGATTTTGTTTTCATTGCCGTCATCGTTGAGAACGACGATTCACATAAATACGTGGAAGGATATGGTAACAACTTTTTCAAAGCAATTTTAGCTAAATTGGGATAACCATGACGCATTGTGCACCAAAATGTTGACAGCGGAGATCGTGAGAACACATCTTTAGCACAGTTATTGGCACGCATTTCGATAAGCTCGGCTTCGGCGGGTTCATCATCGTCATCGAAATTTTCGACTGCATCAAAGGGGTTACGAATCAAAGCGAATTGCTCGGTATCGATATCAGGAAAATATCTATCGAATTCAGATTTCAAGGACAGAAGGTGTTCTTCAATAGGTTCTTTTAAATTAGCCACTTCAAAGTTTTCACTCTCAATGAATTCAGACAAGCTCGGAAATAGTGCATATCTATCTGCTCGCACTTTTCGAATGAGCAAATCTATAACTCCTAGAAATCCCTCCAGTTTATCGTGAAACTCCATAATATTTGAACCTTTTCCCTGTAATGACCTGTTCAGAGTATTGAGTCTTTCAAAAATGTCACTAAGGTAGCTCAATTTAGCAAGCCATTCCTTGTCATTCAGTAGATTAGCCCAATCATCTTTCTTCTGCCCTTGAAGAAAATCTCTCATTTCAGTTCTCAGCTCATAAACACGTTGCATCATATTCCCACGAGACAGCCAACGGACTTCTGTGTAATACAGAAGGTTGATGTGGTCGGCATCCATACCTCTACAGAACTTTCTGAACAAGCGGGTATTTAAGGCACTCGACTTGATATGATTCACCATACGTATGACTTGTTGCATGACATTTTTCAGTATATCTGGAAGAGTTTTTGCTGCGAGAGCCTCGCGATGAATCATACAGTGGACACTAAACACGTTCGGGGCGACTTCGTTTATCTTTGCCTTAAACCCGGATCTTACTCCCAGCATGGCCGGTGCGCCATCAGTGCAACTACCGTAAACCGTATTCCAGTTTAGTTCTTTATCAGTGAAGAAATCGTCAACCATTTTGAACACATCTGCATCTTTAGTTGTCAACTCGAGTGGTTTACAAAGCATGAGATCATCTTTGAAGTCATCATCGTGTTTGTACCGTACCCACACCACCAACTGACTGAGTGAGGCAACATCTGTAGATTCATCCAGTGCTATGGCAAGCATGGGCGATTGCGTCATCTGAGTAATCTGAGTAATCATCTAAACATTGCCTGGATTCGTCGCTGAATAGTATTGTCTGAAACAGGCAAGCCGCTGATTTTCTGAACGGCGTCCTCGCCAATGAGTAATCTGACAATGTCCTTGGTACATGGCATGATCAAATTTTCGGCGATTGTATGAGGCTTCTTGGCCTTGGCAATTCTGTAAGCCACATGGAACGACGCTTCTAGAAGCTTTTCTTGGATTCGTTGTACATGTCCTGTCTGATCAAGACGACTTGCTTTCATTGCCACAGCCTTACGCTCGAAATAGTCTTTACTTCTATTTGGGAAGGCAGGATGTTTAAGGTTCAGATGTCGCTGCAAAATATTACGCTTCATCGATGAGGCAGCGAATACTTCACCGCAGATAACACATTGTGGCTTCTCTACACCATGGTCGTTGATTGACGTAAATCCAACTTCTATATAACTATCCAAATATGTCCGCACTTTACCAGTTGCCATTTTCGCGTCGTCGTTGGCGAAAATAAAATGAAAAAGTTCGCGAAATCACTTCCGCGAAGAAAACGGAAGTGAAAATGAAACTCAATACCAGGAAATAATGTCGAATACCAGGAAATAATCGATTTTTTTTTCTCAGTCCTAGACCAGTTTGTGTCCCCTAGGAATTTGCCAAATGTCCACATGTCCCCCAAGTTGAAAACCGTTGCACTATATTATACTATACTATACTATACACGCAAGACGCGTAGTCGACGTTGCACGCGTGGCGGGTTTTTAAAATTGCGTCGTGATATACAGGCGCGAGCCTTCGTGGGATTGTCGGCTGGTCGCGCGAGGAAATTGAAATCCTGATTTTTGTGACGTCACATAGATAGATATAATTGTATTTTTCTCGTGTTTCCTTCGGTAAATTTTTTTAAATCTTCACACTTCTCTGTAATCTTGATGTGCGTAAAATGTGCAAGTTTTAAGAAGATCGTTCGAGCCGAATTTTTTTTTTATTCCAAAAAGAGGGCTTTTTGAGGATTAAAAAAAAATTCTCGTTTGCGATGCTATCATTTGAAGGAATAATAGATAAGATTACTGTGTGCAAAAAATTAAAAAGTTTTACCGAAGAAATTTAAAAAGAATTGTCATAGAATCTGAAAATTAGTCCTTTTTAAAATCGCTTTGCTACCATGGCAACGGGGATTTTTAACGACATTTTTTATTTTTCGTAATTGGCGATATTGTAGCAGTTATGCGGCCGGGCTTCGTGATCATACTTTGCAAGATGATAAAATAATGGTTTTTTTAATACAATTGTGTGCTGTGCAATCAAAACTGTATGGAGCCACCTTAAAGCCAACAAAAGCTCGTCAGGGCGGTTTGAGAATGAAACGAAGAAGTCAACTTCCAAAGATGTTTGCAACTAACGACTCGACGTTCCCGGTTGCTATCTTCAAAGCCTATCTTTCCCATCGTCCAGCAGACTTGAAAAATTCCGGTCCATTTTACCTGGCAGTCAATCATAAACCCAAAACAGACGTCTGGTATAAAATGCAGAAAATTGGCGCTAAGCGCATTGGCGAAAACATGAAGCGAATCGTTCGTGGGACTCCCGTCGAACTCGCCGGAAAGCGTTTAACAAACCACAGCCCTAGAAAAACCGTTGTTAAAGCAGAACGCGTTAATTGAAGGTACCTTCACTGCAAAAAATTATGTGTAAATTTTACACAAAAACGTGAGTAAAATTTGCATCCACAGCAACACATTTATATGTGTACATTTACACATTTTTACTCTCACATACAACTGAGGAGAAATCACAACCATATATGAAACGAATGAAAGTTTTATGGAATGACCCAATAGCATATTAATTAAATCACAAATACCAACAAGCTTCACCCTTACATTTTAGAAAGAATCTAAAGGATTTTGCCGCAGAAAAATTCTTTATCACGTTGCAAACTCATATGATCCTATACAATGAATGATTACAGATAAATTATTTATTTGATTTCGTAGGAAAAATTTGATTTACTATGGTTCCTCCCATAGACGAAGTGACTGCTCGTACATGCTAACTCAAAAATCATTGTCCCACAGCCAACATCTCAAATTTTAACCCATTAAGTTGCATTGCACTCTACTTTATTGTATTCCTGTCTAATGCCAGACAATTTATTTGTGAGTGGGAAAGTGCTGGTGGTTAATGGGTTAATCTGGCCATGGTCTAGTGACCCATTAAGTTGCATTGTGTCCTTATGTGTCGACACTACTTCCTTATTTTATTAATGCCATTAAGCGCCAGCGCTCTCCCCTTCACGAGTAAAATCGTCTGGTGTTAGACAGAGTAAAATAATAAAGTGGGGCGCAGGGCGCACTGCGACTCAATGAGTTAATGCCAAACTATTGTACTCTGTCTAACTCGAGACAATTTTACTCGTCAAGATTGTGCTGGTGCCTAATGTGTTATAAGATAAATCATAATTCAATCTAGCTTTGGATCATGCAATGGTAGACAATGTTGAATGAACAAAATCCGCTATTAATGATTGATACTTTTGAGTGCAGAATGGAAGCGTTTGCCTTGGGGTGAGTTCTCGGCACTGTCGTCTGGTACTTCCCACCTACTTCTACTCATTATAATCGTAATAATCTAAGTCAAGATCTGGGATAAATCGACCTATAAAGAAAAATTCATTCTCTATAATCACACTCAACATGTAGTAATTTTGAGCAGCTTTCACTTATCTGTAAGTTGGCTGTAATAGGTATGCCGACAATGAGAATACAGGATGTCAGCACTTTAAAAAGAATAGAGTGTACTAGATTTATGCAGTTGTAAGACTCAACTCAACTCAATTTATTTTGCCATAAAAAAAAGAAGAAAATTTAAAAATTTGTAATTAGTGGCAGGCAAGGGAGCCCAAGAAAAACCAAAAGGCTTTTGTGTTTTGGGCTACCTTATAACAGTCTCATAAAACAGGAATGGTAAAAAAAGAGATATTCTTTTATTTTTTTTATGAAAGAGGAAATGGAAGAAGCTTCACGAATATCTTCACTGAGTGAATTAAACAAATTAACTCCTTGATAAACAACCGAAAACTGTTTAATATTAGTTCTGCAGAAAGGAACAAAATACAATTTCTAATTTCGTGTATTATTAATTATGAAGGTTTTAAAACGTCGAAAAAGACAGCCAATGAGATTGGAAATTCGTTATTTGAAACGCCACCAAAAACATCGAGCGCGAGTCCAGGATCGTCCCATTCAGAAATTGAAAAAAAAAAGCGAAAACTTTTCGTATTTTTCTCGCATACAAATTTGTTTTGTACGTTAAAATATTGCTAGTATATAGTAAAAGTATCGTAGATTTTATTTCCGTGATTATTTTAGCGTAAATGTAAAGGTAGTTGAAGTATTTTGGATTGTTTGAAGGTATATGTATTTTTAGTTTGATTGCATTTGCTTACCTTAGGAAATAATACAACTATACAATGCCTCGCCCGCGCGCAGCAGGAAAACATAACATTGGGTTGCCTATGATTTTAGCAGTCAGAACAGCAACAAGATAAATGAGATAATAGGGTCGACGGACGTTATAATTATATGATATAAACAGTAATATTTCATACCTGAGATCAAATAAGCCTTAGGCAGGATTCGGAGTCACTTATCCAATACAAAATATGACGAAAACCATGCTTTTCCTCTTGCTTTTCTTCAGCGAAATATACTCAAACGAAAGAGTCAAAAATGTGCAAATCACACTTGATATTTGATACACGACATACCACAACTCATTGCGCGCGTGCCTTGTCTTCTTAAATAGATACACCATAAAGGGCTCCAATCTATCGCGATAGCTTGAAACCGTCTGAAGCATAAATCTGGCCAAAAAATTATCATAAAAAATTGGGGAAAATTCTTATAAGAGAATAATGAAGATAGATTCTCTAAAAAAATATATGCCAATTGCCATAATATAAAAAAATTTATGAAAAAATAGAGGATGCGTAGCCAGGTTGAAACGTTATTATTGAACGTTTTCTGACTTAAAATTTATTTCTACGAGCTTTCAGCTATCAGTCTATATCCTTCGACGGGTGTACAAATGATTCTATAAAGGACGCTAAACTTAAGTAGGTGGTATGAAATCTGAGACTATCTATGCTATGTTACAAATGGGTAATATGAATATTTAATTAATTAATGTTTCTTGAGTTCCTTTCTTAAAAGTATTGTGTACTGTGCTGGAAGCGTATTAGAGTTATTATCAGCTTCGTCTGTTAGTGCAGTGTGCCTGGGCTCTAAGGTCTTAAGGTTTCTATGATTTCCCTTGTCTATCAATTTAGCATTGGCAAAGTCAATTACATGATCTTGATTCCTGCGTGTTTTGCAACATTCGATCCCTTCTTGCTTTGTTTTACATTCCTTACGTATTCAGACTTTCTCGTCTTCAGCAATCTTCCTGTTTCGCCTATGTAGCTCCAACTACAATCTTGACACGGTATTTAGTAGACCACGTTATTTTGCTCTTCAATTGGTGGTTTCTGTTTTGCAGATGGAAACTGGCGTTCGAGGGTTTTCACTGGCTTATTGTAAACTTTGTTGAAAACTTGTTCACTCCTACCATAGTTAATATAATAGATAGTTTGGAGACTCATAAGAATAACAATATAACTCGCTCTATCTATGTTAGTGAACGTTTATTAATAAATCTGGTCTGTCACCGTCACGTACTATTGTATTTTTGCCCAACTAAACAATGACAATGTTATAGGAATATTACCTGTCCATCACTCGAACAATAGGGTAAAATGAAAATTGCTATTGGTGGACATGATAAAAAATATAATTATAGGCCTACACAAATGATGGTGCAGAAACATATTTATGAATAAAGGTTGACTAACAAAGCTAATGAGATATACTGTTATTATAACGAGTTTCCAAACCATATATTCTATTAACTCGCATAGGGGAGCTCCACATGAATGACATAGGGGAGCTCCACATGAATGACGTAAAAGAAGGCTGCAAATTAGGCTGTTAGTAAAACGCATGAATGAATGAATGAATGAACGAAGGAATGAATGAATGAATGAATGAACGAATTGAATGAATGAACGACGGAATGAATGAACGAACTAGTCGTTCCAGCTCCAAGGTTGAAATCGAACCTGGAGCCAGCTCCAGGTTTGCAAACTTGGAGCTGAATGGCTCGTTATACTTTGAGGAGCCTGATATGCATGTGCGAACTAATAATGAGGAAATGGACGAGGTAATATGCAAATTTTCAGTTCAAGCCTTATTTATATGTAAATTGTTAATAACAATATGCGTGTTTCGTAATTTAATAGGTACCTTCGAGGAAACGACGGTACAAAGACAAATCCCACTTCGAAAACCCAAGCTACCGGCGAATATATGACCGTCGTAATGTTGCAGGAATAAAAAGAAAGGTAGGAAATTATTCGTATTTAGACTACATGACAGAATACTATACCCTATACAACTATAGAAGCAGTAGATGTAGAATGCCGATTCTGGGACATTTTGATGACAAGCCCTCCACCCCCACCCCCAGGGTGACCGAAAGACCAATTAACCACTACTGCGCACCACCTCCCGCGCATCCGATGACGTCACTTCCGGTTTCCTCGCAATCACCTTGCCCGGACTTGTCCGTAACTATGACGTCACTTTCGTTTTATAAGATGACGTCACCACGCCTCTCGCCAGCCCCCGCCGCCCCCGCGCTTGGGGTAGTCTCGCAGAAGTCTTGCCTAAGTCTTCCCTAAGCCGACCCTAAGTCTTCCATAAATCTTCCCTAAGTCTTCCCTAAGTCTTCCCTAAGCCTCCCCTAAGTCTACCCAAAGCATACCCAAAGCCTCCCCTAACCCCACCCAGAACCTACCCAAAAACCCCCACCGCGCAAGCGCACCCCCGTTTTGGGAAGTCTTCGATAAGTCTTCCATTACGTATGTTTTGGATCACGTGACCTATGACGTCACTTCCGGTTGAATAATCATTCCTAAATTTTTTTTTTTTTCTATATAATAAAAAGGGTAGCATTTACCCCCAGTGTTTCGGAGATGTTAGACTTTGACTTGAATCCCTCATGTTTGCATTGTTGTTCCAAACCTTATGGGTTTGGAAAACTGAACTGACTTCTGAGTCGTACCGGAGGTAAAAAATGTTATATTAAAAAAGTTTTCTATATAATAAAAAGGATGTCCATTACCAAAGTCTCAGACTTCTCCAAAGACTCGTTCGCTTTCGAAGATGCCGTCGGAAACAGTTACGGGTCCGAAAAGGTTAAATTAACGGCACGAGATCAGGGTCCACTTCTACTGAAACTTGAGGACTGTTTTGTCCTATGGGGTGAGCAAGGACAACAAGTTCGGTAAGGACAATTACTCCATCTCCTTAGCCATGAGGGATAAGAAGGAGTTTGTGTCAGCCCTGGAACTGGTGGAAAAGGAGTGCGCTGATCACGTTGGTAATCTGGGTGAAAACATCATGAAATGTCTTTACCGGAAGGGTAGCGCTCCAACCCTATACGTAAAGATCGACAACGAAACGGAAATTTACCCTCCGAAAGGGGACGAACACGTCGACCACAAGAAATATCAGGACAAGAGGTTCCGCATCGATGCCATCGTCAAAATCGAGAGCATCTATGTGTCTAACCTCCATCCAGGTGAAGCTGCACGAGGCAAACATACTGGAGGAAAAGCCCAAAGCACCCAGGAAGAGGCTTCTACAGCGACGGATTAATCGGATACGAAGATTCTAACATAAAATCAATTTTAATGTTTGTAAGAACATTAAAATTTAAAGAGCATCGATACCACTGACGGGTAAACTGTTCTCGTACTCAACAGGCATAACCGATCGGTGTTTCCGCCGTATCCTAAACAGATTCCCCATACCATAAGAGCGAGCACGTATGGACGGTATGGAAAACACCCACGATTCTGCGGAATCGTCGGGGCGCCCCAAATTAATACCGAACTCCGGACCGTCTAGCGTGAAGTTGTTTATTTCCCCAAGCATTACATCTTCCGGTACGGTGATGAAGACGACAACACCTATCGGCGGACCGAAGGGCATCGCGTTCACACCCATGATTGCAGAATCTCCTTCTCCCATGAGCCAGAACCTAATAACTACCTCTCTATTAGCTCTTTCGTCCATTAAGGTAATACCAGCATCCCTGAAGTCCGTGTCCTCACACATTTCTGAAATGAACTCCGTCATTTCTTCAGAACATTCGAAGTACAATTGGACTTTCCTGTAGGTACCCATTGTCTTTTATTGATAGGAAATTTTTTTTTTTTAAACTGTTGACTCAGCATTTTTTTTATTCTTCCTTTTCCGAACAACCTGCTTTTGTACTGATCACATGTTTCCCGACGGTGATTCCACCACTTAGTATTCCAATGAGTGGGATGTACGGTGTTACGTAACTGACGAGGTTTTTTATGTCTTTTCTAAGCAGATCGTTTTCCTCGAGTTCTTTTTTCATTCCTTCAGCATCCTTAACAGCGTCCAACGCCTCCATGAGTTCGGAGAACTTGGTGATGATAACATCGGCTAGTTGGCTGTTTGTGTTCTCCAGACGTTGTCTTTCGTAGTCTTTGTATATATTTTCCAACGTTTTTTCGGATGATTTTTTGATATATTTTGAGGTGTACTTAATTTCACCTGCATCGACCAACTTTAGTAGCTTTTCCCTCAGGTCGCTTGCAACAGATGTCTCAGGCTCTACAGATTCGAATATGGTTTCCATTCCTTTATTTAATATGCGGAATAATTGTTTCGTGGGTATAGGGTCGGCGTAATAGTATTTCCAGCCTGGCGTAGTCGTTTTTTAGCGTATTAATGATTTTCTTCCTTTCTTCTTTTTCCGTGTTTGCAAGGTAGTCGTTCAATATTATGTCCGTATCCTTTGCGCTCGGGTTGTAGAAGGTTACAAGCTTGGATATATTTTCCCTATAGGGTTTCGCAATGGATGTGAGTTGTTGGGTAATGACAATGGTTGATAATCCCATATGTCTTGCGCTAAACCCAAGTTTTACCAATTCGCTGGTCCTGTTTTTGACGGATTGGCTACGAGCACAGTCATCAAGAACGATAAGGCTATTTGTTCCTCTTGCAAAATGCGAAACATATTCTAAACACTGGTTTACATCATCCTGCTTGCAGGGCATGGCTATAAAGTCCTTATCCGTATTGTATTTCCAGTCCTGGTACGTTTTGTTCCACTCGTATGTGGGACATATTAGAAATATGTACTCGAAGTGGTTTTTATAATCGTTTTCCAACATTTCCAGTAGGTAGTAGGTTTTTCCACATCCGGTCATTCCGAGAATGATCATGTTGAATGGTATTTTCAGCGGTTCCATCTTTTATTTAATAACTAATCCCCTGAAGGGGCTTTTCGCTGATGTTTATGAGTCCATCGGATAGCACAAAGATGTTACAGAGGATGTCTTCGGTAATAGTGTCCGTTTCAATTTCTAGAGGGATTCCGGGGTTATCGCCGAGAAGCTTCTTTCCACTTCCAACGATATGGTTGTCGTCGACAGCCCTCAGATCGATTACCAATGCGAATTTATCTTTGTAGAATTTCCTGACGTTTATGTCGTCGTTACAGGTGTTGTTGGCTATTCCAAACAGTCTTTTTGCTTCGTCGTAGAAATCTTCCGTTGTTAGACCCTGACTATATACGGCATTCGATTTCCCCTCTATTGTAACCTTTACCTTTTCGATGCTTGGAAAGACGTATTCCTCGCTGTCGGTTATTGTTCTTTTCCTGAAAAGTAGGACCACAGCCATCATGCTTACCCTTGGAACGTCTATAGTTTCGTTGAACCTTGTAGCATTCTTTAACCACACAGTTGTTTTCAACAGTGTTGTGTGTTCGTATGACAGGGATCTGCCGGTCTCGTATCCTTCGTTTACCCGTTTGGCCAGTTCTTCGTTTTCGATGGTTTCGTATTCCAGATGTATGTTTTTTAACGTATATCCTTCCACCTTCTCGTTCGCTTGTGCAACCATAATCTTGTCGGCTTTTGGAAGGGTTATCGTGTACTCGAATCCGCTCTTCATGTTGTACGGTGCGTAGGGGCCGTGGTCATTGAGAATTTTTCCGAGTTTCATTTTCTGCTCCTTGTATACCTTCGCCATTACTAGATCGTAGTCGCCGTCCGTTTTTCCGGTCTGATCGGCAGTGTCGTCCTTCGACAATAGCTTTCTTGTGTTTTCGTTCATAATCCAGTATTCTATCATATTTGCTCTTTTCGTGCTCATCTTCCAGAGATCTTTGTAGACTTCGATGAGACTTTCGCCGTTATTGTCGTATACGATTTCACCACCCACCCTTATCATGAGTCGTTCACACACGAGTTTACCGAGGTTATTCATAAACCGGGATTTGGTGTTTTCGTTCTTGAACTCGTACGACAGACGGAATGAGTCCGGAACGATACAGGTGTTCGGTTCCAGTTTTGGAACTACAATCCGGATGTCGTTTCCGGGGTTAGATTCGTTTGGGTTGAATGTAACGAAGTTACATACCCTGTTTCCTACAACGTCGGAGGTCAGTGCCCTTTTGAAACCGGGCGTAAGTTCTTGACTTCTCTTTTCCATTCCTTTTATTATACTGACTAATCATTAAATTTTTCGAACTTTGGTTTGGGTTCGTCCTGTACTTGTGGTTCTGTTGTGTGATCAGGTTTGTCCGTAGGTCTGACTTTGCAGTATATGTAGTAGATTCCCCCCAGCGCAGCTGTTGCTACTCCAGCGTAAATCAGCGTATTTACCGAATCACCTTGATCGGAATTATTTTCAATGCTACGTCTTTCTTCAGCCTTCCTTCCTTTTTCTTCCCTAGATATTGCTGCCAGTCTTTTACTCGATTCTACCCTTCTCGGATCCTTTGGTTTTTGGGTCTTTTCTGCTTTCGTTATTGTCGGTTCATCCATCCTTTATTTAATATACTTACTTTTTTAGAATTTCTAGTCAAATTCTAGTCAGAGCTACAATCAGTTTCAAAAGTCTTGGGACAGATGCCACAAAACCTTTGAATTTCATCAAACGACAATCCCCCTGCCCCCTGTTCAATGTTGTGTCCCATTTCTCGTCGGGCTTGATGTGTTTTGGTTTAAACAACATTGATTGGGGTGGGGGGAGGGGGAGGGGAGTGGTATTGTGTGTAAAAAGCTATAATGATCCACTTACAAGCTAAAACTACATGTGTCCCAACAACTTCTGAAAGTGATTGTCTGGGCCCCATATGCCATAACATCATTGTACATCTCAAAAGTACAGGGAATAGAATGCTCTGCGAACGAAGTATTTCAGCTCCATTTCGTTCACAGAATATCTAATATAACATTATAAAACAATTAAGTTTCATTAAAATTCTCAAAGTTAATAATTAACAGAATATGAATATAATTTGTTATGTCACATTGCATTCTTAATCACAAAGGTTTTATACGTTGTTTGTTTCTACAAATTTTGGCAGAGCACAAGTAGGTTATTTGAGAGGTTATAGTCCGTCAATAAAGATAGGTATCGCAAATGTTTTACGCTAGATATGTCACACATACTGTTAATTAATTTATAGCATAGTAATATAACATATCCGGTTACTTTCGTATGCGGGTAAGGGCTGAGTCAACTGCTAATTCGGGAACTCCGAAGGTAAAGAACGTTTGATTTTTATCACCAATAGTGAATGTGACATTTCACATCTTTCTAGAGCAGAATTTGCACATATAATTGTCGACGCTTGGGTACGAAGGAGCACTCAGTGGGTGGGAATTTCGGAGGCTAATGGTATAGATATATAGTCACTTCCACATGGCTAAAAAATTGTTCGCAAGATCAAGTTGGCGAGCTATCGGAAAGCTCGAGAAGACTAAATTCGGCATTTAATTGAACTCAGGCAGACAATCCCAAAAATTACTATTCAGCGTATTCGTACGTGGTAAAGAATGACCCGGACTTCGCGGTGATTTCTCCAGGGCTTATAGACCTCCCTAAGGCCACATAAAAAAAAATAGTTGGTTAGCGTCCTTAGCTTTTGCCAAAAAGTGGGCGGGCGGGCGCTTTTTTTTAAATTTTTACGAATTTTTAACGCCTTGGTTTTAGGTCCGAAACTGGATTTTCTTGCGCAGTACAGATATTTTTTTATATATTTCAAAATATGATTCATACCGTCATTTTCGCATGCAATTTCACAATTTATTAACACTATTGACTACAGTCAACAGAAATACTAAACATATTAGAGCCCGTTGATCAATAAAAGTTGGATTTTTATAAAATAAAAAATAAAAAAAAAATCCTGAGCGGGGCCTTTTTTGTGGGCGGGCGAGGACGCTAACCAACTATTTTTTTTATGTGGCCTAATGCTGACGCGTTAGCAAGTACTAGCGCGCGCGACCCGCCGAAGCAAGAAAGTTGCACAGGCTTCCAAAAATATGTAACGAAAGGGACTCGCTGTATACGGCGTTGTACGCATTATACAACACAAAGTTAGTGTTATACGCCGCTAATTATGCTAATAAGCGTTTCCGGACCAGACGAATGCAATGAAACTAACATCGGTTGTCACTTCGATTGTCACTATAGAAATATGAAATAATGGGCAACTAGGCAGCTTTTAAATCAGAACAAGGCTAAGAATAATTTGTTGAGAATGTCTAACAATGTATTTACTATTAATGAAAGGGTTTGAAATTGATTAAGCCAAGTTTTGGATCGATTGACATTTTTCTACATAAATAAATCTGATATATCATAGTGATATTTCTAGAGTTGAGTGTCAATCGATACATTTTATACAATTTATATACTTTGTGATTAAGTAGAACCCGTAATATATCAATACGCGCTACCTAAACACTTTTGCTTAGTACTTAATATTCTGAAAATTATTATCCCGTGACAATTGAAAGTTATATCAATGAAAATGCTATGTGTTTCAAAGTGACAACCGAGTGACAATCGGCGAGCACATGTTCCAACCGTTTTATATTACATACATATTTTCATGTCAAATATGCACAAGTGGTTTTCTTTAAGTGGTTTTCGATAACTTACCCTTGCATTTTATTCAGCAATAACCTGGGTCGATAATTAACCAGATAGATGTGTTTTATCCCTTGCATATAAAGCAGGTTTAATCTCTCAGCATACGTCCCTCCCCACATATCACATCTGTTTATAAGCTCATTTATAATATACTGTTCAGTCTGTTGGATTATGTTACATTTCGAATATATTGACCACAACAAGCACATTATAAAAGCATTATATATGCCAGTGCAATTCAGTAAATATGTTATACTAAATGCTATACGATTTTCGCAAAACTGATATTCTAAAACACTCGGTAATTCAAAGAGGTTAAATATGCTTTTCATTGCCTTTCAGACAATCAGTTTCAAAAGTCTTGGGACAGATGCCACAAAACCTTTGAATTTCAACAAACGACAATCCCCCCGCCCCCTGTTTAATGTTGTGTCCCATTTCTCGTTGGGTTTGATGTGTTTTGGTTTAAACAACATGGGGAGGAGGGGAGCGGTATAACAATAGGGGGAGGGGAGCGGTATTGTGTGTAAAAAACTATAATGATCCACTTACAAGCTAAAACTACATGTGTCCCAACAACTTCTGAAAGTGATTGTAGTACGTCTGCCTCCTCCGCAGGCTCCTCTATATAGATCAAATTTAAATATCGGTAATATATAGATCAGCGCGTGCACTGCAAGCCCGATAAAGACGCACGCCTTTAGGCGCACGCCCGCAACTCCGCGCGTCCCCATTAATTTTCGTCTTTTCCTAATTAATTATTTGACAGCAAGCGACTGTGGACGAGGCAGGTAGTACGTGGCGCGCTCTCTTTAATGTGCAAAATTAATTTCTCTTGTCTTGGATGCGCGCGCGTTAATTGGAATCACTTCACTACGTTTGAAATGACGTGGTTGATGTACCGTTTAATTAAATTTCAAATGACGCGAGCCAACAGATCACGACACTTTTTGTATATAAAAAGGGGCGTGTGAATTAAACAAGTCGCATATTATTAGCACTGATGAAAATCCAGGCTTACGGATCGAAAGCTTTGCAGTAATAAATTTACGTGGTGTTTCCACAAACAAACTATTATATAAACCAACTATTGGTTTTAGGATTTTTGGAAAGCGCGTCGGGCACTGGCCAATCCAAAAGGCAGGCACATTAATTTTCATTGGGTATCTTTCCAAAGAAAGCGAAGGAATTTTTGGTGATTCTTCCAAATGGGAATTGTAAAATTGGCATCTTTTAGATCGATTTTTGCCATATAATCGTTTGGTTGCAGGAAGTCTCGCAGCATATGTATGCCCTCCATTTTGAAATGTTCGTACTGAACAAAGTGGTTCAATTGTTTGAGATTGAAAATTGGCCGGTGCCCACCACCTTTCTTGGAGACCACAAACAGCGTGCTTAAAAAGCCTGTGCTGTGTTGTTGTGGTGGAACATATTGTATTGCTTGTTTTTCTATCAATTCTTCCACCTCTTTGTTTATGACCTTTTGGTCCTCTACTGACACCATCATTGCCGGGATTGTATTCTGGAATGGCAGATTTGAAAAAAAAATTTGGTACCCTGACACAACCTGGAGTACCCAGGGGTCGTTTGTCACTAACTCCCAATTTTTTACAAAATATTTTAAACGACCTGCTAGTGGCAACTGGTTTGAGCTTACATGACGAAGCCCGGACTTTTCCCACAATGCATTTATTTGGGGGGAATGAGTTAAGTTTGTTCGTTTTTTAATATACCTGTTATTTGACCACTTTGAGCAATCACTGCTGGCTTTGTTGTGACTGGGATGTTGTTTGGAATTGAAGGTTTAGCAATCTGCCTCTCCCCCGGCCACGGGTTTGAAAGGAGTACCTCCCTCTGGCTTGCTAATTCCATCTGCCCCGTTCCTGGCCCCCACGCCATGAGCGGTAACTGGAAACCCACGGGCTATTTTTGAGAAAATACAGTTCAAAGTCAAGCTATTTTTACATATTTTCAAAATTTGTCAAATTTCGCGAGCTTGTATTTTGAACTTAGACACCTGAAGTTACATTAAGAAACATAGGACGTTGTTCGCCACCACAGCAACCTAACTAAATGTGTTATATTTTTTTGTATTTTTATAATTGATGATAAAAATGCGCAAATATTTATTGTTTTTATCATAAATCACAAAAATACAATAAATATAATGTACTTAGTTAGATTGCTGTGGCCTGTGGTGGCGAACAAACGTTTCGTGAAAATATTCACACACACCCTGTTTCGCGAACTTGCGCGTGACTTTTAAATTACTTCTTTTGAATTCTGACAGGAGAACTATTATGGGAGGTTTTTTCCTCCCAAGTACAAATAATGTTTTCAATATTTGGATTGGGACTATTCTACAATGAAGTACTCTTGGATAATGTAATCTAAATACATATGAAAACGAAGAAGTGGCATTTATCGGACAGAGAAGCGGCAAGCCATTAAAATGGCGGCAATTTGACGAAATATCGAAGGA